ACACACTACAGGACACTACACGACACTACACACACTACACACACTACAGGACACTACACACACTACACACACTACAGGACACTACACACACTACAGGACACTACACACACTACTACACACACTACAGGACACTACACACACTACACACACTACAGGACACTACACACACTACAGGACACTACACACACTACAGGACACACTACACACACTACAGGACACTACACACACTACAGGACACACTACACACTACACACACTACAGGACACTACAGGACACTACACACACTACAGGACACTACACACACTACAGGACACTACACACACTACACACACTACAGGACACTACACACACTACAGGACACTACACACACTACAGGACACTACACACACTACAGGACACTACACACACTACAGGACACTACACACACTACACACACTACAGGACACTACACACACTACAGGACACTACTCACACTACACATACTACAGGACACTACACACACTACAGGACACTACACACACTACAGGACACTACACACACTACAGGACACTACACACACACTACACACACTACAGGACACTACACACTACCTGAAGTGTGTCATTGGCTGCTGTGATGGTTCTGTTCTGACTCGGTTCTGTTCTGTTTTGTGCAGGTCCCAAAGTCCGAGGACTACGACCTCCGAGTCCCTAAAGACATGTCGTACGTGTTCAGCGGAGCCTACGTCCCCCTGAGCTGCAGACTCATAGAACAAGTGAGACCTCAACCAGGACTGAACCAGGACTGAACCAGGACTGAACCAGGACTAAACCAGGACTAAACCAGGAATAAACCAGGACTAAACCAGGACTATAACAGGACTAAACCAGGACTATAACAGGACTGAACCAGGACTATAACAGGACTAAACCAGGACTAAACCAGGACTGAACCAGGACTATAACAGGACTGAACCAGGACTGAACCAGGACTATAACAGGACTGAACCAGGACTGAACCAGGACTGAACCAGGACTATAATAGGACTAAAGAGGAACTCAACAAGAACTTAACCAGGACTAACTGGGGTCTTTTCAGGTCCTGGACCGTGAGGGCTGGTCCGGTTTGGAGGAAGTGACTCGACTTTTAAATGGACACGAGTTCAACGTCACAGGTCAGATATCGACCAATCAGAAGAGAGCGCCACACGGGAGGGCACCTGACACACACAGGAGCAGTGTTGTGCAAGTTCACACTTTTCATGAACTAGTTCAAAGTTCAGTTCACACTTGTTCAAAGTGAATAGTTCACGTTCATAGTTCACAATTTTAATTTTGAACTAGTTCAAAGTTCAGTTCATTTTATATTTAGATGAGATCTGTAAATGAAAGGCTGCATTTATTTTTCAAACTGACTTCTAGTTTACAACAACTTTACAAGATCCACTGTTGGACAAGTGACTTTAACACTGTAATGTTTTATTTATGACTTGTTACTGTCATTTCAAAGTCATTTGTTACATTACAATATTACTGTATTTAAAATGTAAAACATTACACGACTATTGCAGCACTTTTAATTTACTCTCACCAAAAGAACTGTTAAGATCCTGAACTTTTGCGCCATATATGGACTGAACCAGGTCTCAACCAGGTCTAAACCAGGTCTAAACCAGGACTAAACCAGAACTGAACCAGGTCCAAACCAGGACTAAACCAGGTCTAAACCAGGACTAAACCAGAACTGAACCAGGTCTAAACCAGGACTAAACCAGGTCTAAACCAGGACTAAACCAGGACTAAACCAGAACTGAACCAAGACTGAACCAGGTCTAAACCAGGAATAAACCAAGACTAAACCAGGACTGAACCAGAATTGAACCAGGTCTAAACCAGGACTGAACCAGGTCTAAACCAGGAATAAACCAAGACTAAACCAGGACTGAACCAGAATTGAACCAGGTCTAAACCAGGATTGAACCAGGACTGAACCAGGACTAAACCAGAACTGAACCAGGACTAAACCAGGTCTAAACCAGAACTGAACCAGGACTAAACCAGGACTAAACCAAGACTAAACCAGGACCAAACCAGGACTAATCCTGGACTAGAACTTGGAATCTAGGACCGCCCCTGAGTGAACCCCGAGTGCGATCGGGCGTCAGCGGCGTTTAGTTCGGTGGAGCGCGGACTTCTGCGTCGGTCCTTTCGCTCAGGATCACCTGACGGTCTACGCGGGCGAACCTCCGGCGTTTCACCGCTGCTGATATCGCGGTGATTTTAGCCAATTTGTATGAAGAAAAACGAAAAACCCACCATTTCAGTCCAGGTTAAAAAAGCATTGTGACGCGCGTTACTCACATATGTACCAAGTAAAATAATACGCGCGCGGAGCAGCACGTCCTGTGCGTGTAGATTTCAGAAAATAGGATCCATCCTATTTTTTGACGCTCTACACGAGCGTAGGCGCGTATCTCCGTCAAAATCCACAGAGAGCATGTATCTGTTGTTGTATTTGTGCATTTACTATCAGCACATTGTGCTCCCTGGGCAGTTGTGTATCATGTGAAAGAGCCCAGATCCACATACACTGTTCATTAGTGCTTTGAAATTTACTTTTGAAATCCTTGCGTTTGCCGTGGTCAGCCTGTACAGAAGGTAAATACAAGCAGCTAAACGCGCCCAGTCAAGTTTGATTGACTTTCCCATTGAGAGACACAAGAGCCCGTACGTTCCGTTAAAGCTGCCGGTGGAGTCGCCTTCGCGTTGACACGCGGCTGTGGTTTCGCGGGGTGAAGTGTGAGCAGATCGTCACTCGTCAGGTGAAAACAAATTCCGACGTTTAACTGAACACCAACAGTGACGTACGTCGTTCATCAAACATAATTTGAACAAATTCACGTTCAAGTTCTTGATTTACAAAAGTGTTGCGTTCAGTTCAAAGTTCACTGAAAAATGAACGTGTTCAATGAACGCGTTCTTTTGAACTCGTTCATGCACAACACTGCACAGGAGGGCACCTGACACACACGGGGAGGGCACCTGACACACTCGGGGAGGAGGGCACCTGACACACACGGGGAGGGCACCTGACACACTCGGGGAGGAGGGCACCTGACACACACGGGGAGGGCACCTGACACACTCGGGGAGGAGGGCACCTGACACACACACACAGGGAGGGCACCTGACACATGTGTATTTGTTGTTTCAGGGAGCACCTCTGGCTCTGAGAGCAGCTCTGGTCTGACCTCCGGGTCTGGGTCCGGGTCTGGATCTGGTCCTGGATCTGGTCCGGACTCTCAGAGGAGAGTCCTGGTCGTGTTTTTAGGAGGATGCACTTTCTCTGAGATCGCCGCCCTGCGCTTCCTCGCCCGAGAGAAAGGTACTGCAAGTACTTCAAATACTGCAAGTACTACAGATACTACTAATACTATAAGTCCTGCAAGTACTTCAAGTACTTCAAATACTGCAGATACTTCTAATATTACTAGCACTACTACAAACCCTCACACTAGAGATGCAGCGATACAGGTTCCCCACGATTCGATACATATCGATACACGGGTCACGATATCAATACACGGGTCATGATATCGATTCACGGGTCACGATATCAATACACGGGTCATGATATCGATTCAGTTTAGACGTGTTTTAAGTAAAAGTTTAACGGGTCATGAGTTTGTGCCGAATCGTTTGGTGCAAGACGACGACAACAAGGAGAAAAGACTCATGTGTGACTGGGACTGTGTGTGTGTGTGTGTCTGTGTGTGTGTGTGTCTGTGTGTGTGTGTGTGTCTGTGTGTCTGTGTGTGTTTAAAATAGTTTTTGTTTGTGTTTTTTCAGGTTATAGAATCACCACAGTCACCACGGCCATCACCAACAGCAGCAGACTCCTGGAGAGTCTGATCCAGAACAAGGTCTAAACCTGGACTAAACCAGGTCTAAACCTGGACTAAACCTGGACCAAACCTGGACTAAACCACGACTGAATCAGAAGCACATTTCCAGAATAAAAGGTTTATGTTTGAGTCGTGTCCTCATTTTTGAAACTGTTCAAATGTATCAGATCCACTGTGGACTAAACCAGGACTAAACCAGGACTAGACCAGGACTAGACCAGGACTAAACCAGGACTAAACCAGGACCAGACCAGGACCAGACCAGGACCAGACCAGGACCAGACCAGGACCAGACCAGGACTAGACCAGGACCTGACGGGGACAGTGTGAGGTCACAGTGAGACCTTTGGGACGTGTGTGTTTTTTTTGTTATTTGTAAAGTTCCGTAATGGAGCTTTAGTTTAGTTTGTTTGAGTTACTTCAGTTTAAACTTTTATTTCACATTTACAATCGAACACAAAATAAAACACAAACACTCTGAGTGTCAAAGTGTCAGAGTGAAACGCTCCAACTCCCACAGAGTCAAACATCAAACTCACGCTGAGATTTAACCCACGTTCTAATGTTCTAATGTTCTAATGTCACAGACACACACACACAGACACACAGACTTTCATACTTGTAAATGTGTGTGAAGTGTCTTGCTTAAGGACACAATGACAGTTTTTGTTCTGGCTCCTCCTGTGGCTCCGGATGTTCCCAGAGTCTGAGATCTGACCCCAGATCAGCTCTGACAAACACGTTTCTACACTAAATATATAAAAGATAAAAACGACACTGGACTAAGATAATACGAAAAATAATTTGATAAAATAATCAGATAAAAATAATTATTTCCGTTTTTCTTATTGATCCTCGTGAAAAGGGGCGGGGTCGAGTTTCGGTTCCTGCGTCATTTTGTGCCGGTGTTGTGTTTGTTTTTGGAGTCTAAACACCCTGGAGCGGGCGGTGCTCTGTTTCTCATGTAAACGCTCTAACCCCGCCTGCCCCCGCTGCCCTGATGACGCACACGCGCTCTCCCCGCAGCAGCCAATCAGAGCGCGCGCAGAGAAGCGGCGTGTTTTGAATCTGGCTACGTCACTGCGTCGCTGCGGTACGAGCTCAAACTAAACTAAACTAACGCAAAATCTGACGAAACTGCGACGAAACTGAACCAAAGTGAGCGGCCATGAGGAAAAGGTGCGTCCCGCTGCGTATCGCGTTTATATTTGTCTTTATTTGTGTTTGTTCCGCTGTTTTGGAGGAATCAAACTGTAAATGACGGACGTGCGTCAGTCCGAGTCAAACAGACGAACTTTGTCTTTTATTGGTTTAATTTAATTTTAATTTAATTTTACAGACGTCTCACGCTGTTTTTTTCTTTTTCACTGACTGGTCCTGTTAAAGCTGCACTGTGTAACCTGCTCGTCTCCATGGAGATGTTATTGTTTTGTCCAGAATGTTTCGCAGTAATGATTAAACTCGAGTGACCAGATTTTCAAACTAAAACACGAGGACGTCTCTGGTTTGTGTTTGGTGAGAATAAACTTGTGATTCGAGTCGTAATTAAGAAAACCTGTTCTGTCCTCGGCTCATGAGTCGGTTTAGTCACATTTTCTTTGTGTTTTGTCGTTTTGAATCAGATTTTTTGTGTTTTTTACCCAAACAAATGTCACTTTGTGTCTTTTTACAGTTTCAGGGTCAGATCAGTAAAAACTGAGACTCTGGGACATTTTCTGTATAAATTTGGACAAATGAGTGTTTTTGTGTGAATCTGTGGGAAACAGGGACGTGTGGAAACTCTGGATTAAACCTGATTATCTCAAGAGAAACAAACATAAGATCCGTTACAGGTCAGATCTGTGGAGAGGCGTCCCTGTTCTGTGACTGTGGTTTGGTGCAACAGAAACATAAAGAATAAAAGCTCAATAGAAATGTTTAAAGTCACACCACGGAACATTCCAGGCAAAGTAACATCTCCATGGAGACGAGCAGTGTCATTATTTATTATTCTAATATTATTTCAGTTTTATTTATAATGAAGTGTTTGTTTTTATATATTCACTGTTTTTCTCTTAAAACAGGAGAATGTTTTCCTTTGTTATTAATTCAATATTATTTGTGTTGTTTTAGTGAAGTCCTGCCCAGTGTTGTTTAATATTATTATTATTATGAACAATAATGATAATAATTATTATATTAACTATTATTATTATTATATATATTTATATTTTTCCAGTGAGGTTTTGGCTGCTGAGGCCGTTTCCTGCCTGAACAAAGCTCTGATGCTCCTCAAAGACGTTTGGGAGGAGATCGGGATCCCAGAGGAACAACGTCTCCAGAGAACCAACACGGTGAAGAACCACATCCAGGTAAGACCGGGACCGGGACCAGGACCGGACCAGGACCGGACCAGGACCAGGACGAAACCAGGACGAAACCAGGACGAAACCAGGACGAAACCAGGACTAAACTCATCATCCGCCCGCTGTCCATTTTGCACTGAAGGTTTTCAAAACCGCACCCGCCGCCATCCGCCGATTGATTTTAGATTTTAGAACAATCATACAGCAAACAAACTAAGGAGTCTCAATAAAAATGCAAACTATAGCTCATTTATTCCAAAATTCGCTCAGCGTGTTTGTTCACATTCTTATTTGTCCGTAACAACCCCAAACTTAACTGACAACGTTTTCCGACGAGGCTGTTTTTGAACCTTCTTGCCTTCGTGTTGGATGTTGTTACATTCTGAACATTCTGCCATTCGCCCGATGTTATTTCAAAGTCATAGCCTCAGTCCATCGGTCTTTCTTTAAGTTTTAAATCCCCCGAGTGGCAGTCTACGCTATAATGTCTGCGTGTTTTGAAATATAACTGATATCCAAACAAAATAGACAGATCATCTCATCCAGATGAACCTTTATTGAAATCAGGCAATGCCCTCTTTATATTCCAATTGAAATAGGCAAGAAAAAATATGCATAACTAAATAAATATGGCTCTATAGCCACTTACGTGTTGGCAAACAGCTGAAATAAATTAGAAATAATAAAATAAACTGCATATAATATGTGCCTCGTAAACTTTAGGCATCAATAACCCGACACAACCTGAACCTTCAGAACATAAAAATGACGTATGACGTACACTTCATACTACAAGCATAGACAATGACACTCGTCAATTCAGATGTACATAACAATACTAACAATAACTTTATTTTTTTTTTTTCTTTTAGTAGTTAAACCGCCACCTGCCCGAATTTAATTAAAATATAATTTTTCGTCACATCATCTGCCCGACTAACTGCCCGATTAATTGCGGACACCACGGTTGTAACCGCGATCCGCACATCTCTAGTTCAGGGTCTGGTTAAAGCTCTGTGTTTGTCTGTGTTTGTCTGTGTTGTGTTCAGGGTCTGGTTAAAGCTCTGTGTTTGTCTGTGTTTGTCTGTGTTGTGTTCAGGGTCTGGTTAAAGCTCTGTGTTTGTCTGTGTTGCGTTCAGGGTCTGTTGGACATGATGATCGCCGAGGAGCAGAGTTTGAAGCTTCGTTTGGAGAAAAGCGTCGAGTCGAGTCGCAGAGAAATTCAACAACTGAGTGAAGAACTGGACCTGCCCCCGCCTCAGGTCAGAGGTCACACCGGGTCAGAGGTCACACCGGGTCAGAGGTCACACCGGGTCAGAGGTCACACCGGGTCAGAGGTCACACCGGGTCAGAGGTCACACCGGGTCAGAGGTCACACACAGACACACATAGACACACACACAGGCACACATAGACACACACACAGGCACACATAGACACACACACAGGCACACAGACACACACACACAGACACACAGACACACACACACAGACACACATAGACACACACACAGGCACACAGACACACACACACAGACACACATAGACACACACACACACACACACACACACAGAGTGTTTCTGAGCAGAACAGTTTGTTTGTTTAATTTTAAACGTAAATGAAAATTAAGCAGATAAAATGAAGTTTTGTAAAAACATTGGTGTAAATGTGTGACGCTTCAGGAGGACAGAGGACAGAGCGTCCTTCAGGCCGAGAAGGACCTGAGGACCAGAGTGGACTTCCTCCTGAAGGAAAAGTCCAGACGAATGGAACATCTCAAGGATCTGCTGCAGCAGGACCTGGAGCTGGCAGATATATTAGGAACACCACCGTCCACCGTCTCGCCCACGGCCACGCCCACCGCCACGACGCTGGACCACCTGAGGCAGCACCTGGCCAATCAGAGGGAGGAGAAGGTACGTACGGGCCAATCAGAGGGAGGAGAAGGTACGTACGGGCCAATCAGAGGGAGGAGAAGGTACGGGCCAATCAGAGGGAGGAGAAGGTACGTACGGGCCAATCGGAGAGCGGGAGGGAGGAACGGGCCAATCAGAGGGAGGAGAAGGTACGTACGGGCCAATCGGAGAGCGGGAGGGAGGAACGGGCCAATCAGAGAGCAGGAGGGAGGAACGGGCCAATCAGAGGGAGGAGAAGTTCTGAACGGGCCAATCGGAGAGCGGGAGGGAGGGATGGCACTAACCTCTGACCTCCTGTGACCTCTGACCTCCTGTGCCCTCAGAGTCGGCGCCAGGTCCAGTTCCGGTCCCTCAGAGCCCAGATCCTGGACCTGGTCTCAGAATTGGACCACAGACCGGACTCGGGTCTGGAGGTCGACCTGCTCCAGTCGGACCCGGACGAGTTCTGCCTTTCCCTGGAGAATCTGCACACGCTGGAGCAGCTGCTGGAGCGGGTGAGGGGGGAGGCTGTGGGTTTGATTCCTCGGGGTTTCGTCGGGAGGTTGTGGGTTTGATTCCTCGGGGTTTCGTCGGGAGGTTGTGGGTTTGATTCCTCGGGGGTTTCGTCGGGAGGTTGTGGGTTTGATTCCTCGGGGTTTCGTCGGGAGGTTGTGGGTTTGATTCCTCGGGAGTTTCGTCGGGAGGTTGTGGGTTTGATTCTCTCTGTGTCTTGGCTCAGCTGCAGCGGCGCCGGTCCGACCTGGAGGACCTGAGCCAAAAGATCCTGGTCCAAATCCAGAGTCTGTGGAAGCGTCTGGAGACTCCACCAGACCAAAGAGAAGAATTCAACCAGAAGGTCCAAGAGAGCAGACTGTCCCAGAGAGTACAACAGGTACTACTACTACTGCAAATACTACTACTGCTACTATTGGTTCTAACCCGTGTGGTTCTCGTGTGGTCTCGTGTGGTTCCGTGTGGTTCCGTGTGGTCTCGTGTGGTTCCGTGTGTCCCGTGTGGTCTCGTGTGGTTCTCGTGTGGTCCCGTGTGGTTCCGTGTGGTTCCGTGTGGTCTCGTGTGATCCCGTGTGGTTCCCGTGTGGTCTCGTGTGGTCTCGTGTGGTCTCGTGTGGTCTCGTGTGGTCTCGTGTGGTTCTCGTGTGGTTCTCGTGTGGTTCCGTGTGGTCCCGTGTGGTTCCGTGTGGTCTCGTGTGGTCTCGTGTGGTCTCGTGTGGTCTCGTGTGGTCTCGTGTGGTTCTCGTGTGTGGTTCCGTGTGGTCCGTGTGTGTGTGGTTCCGTGTGGTTCCCGTGTGGTCTCGTGTGGTCTCGTGTGGTTCTCGTGTGGTCTCGTGTGGTTCCGTGTGGTCTCGTGTGGTCTCGTGTGGTCTCGTGTGGTCCGTGTGGTTCCGTGTGGTTCTCGTGTGGTTTCGTGTGGTCCGTGTGGTCCGTGTGGTCCCCGTGTGGTCGTGTGGTTCTCGTGTGGTCTCGTGTGGTTCCGTGTGGTCCGTGTGGTTCCGTGTGGTCTCGTGTGGTCTCGTGTGGTTCTCGTGTGGTCTCGTGTGGTCTCGTGTGGTTCTCGTGTGGTCTCGTGTGGTCTCGTGTGGTCTCGTGTGGTCTCGTGTGGTTCTCGTGTGGTTCGTGTGGTCCGTGTGGTTCTCGTGTGGTCTCGTGTGGTTCTCGTGTGGTTCCGTGTGGTCTCATGTGGTTCTCGTGTGGTTCCGTGTGGTTCCGTGTGGTTCTCGTGTTCTCGTGTGGTCTCGTGTGGTCTCGTGTGTGTGGTTCCGTGTGGTTCGTGTGGTTCCGTGTGGTTCTCGTGTGGTCCGTGTGGTTTCTGTGTTCTCGTGTGGTTCTCGTGTGGTTCGTGTGGTGTGGTTCGTGTG